GATTCAAATTAATACATCTTATTGGATGAACATTTTAGTAAATAAACTTTAGCCTGATGATAAGATCAATTTTTTAATATAAATTATGTGAAGCAAACAATATTTATATATAAATATTAATTATAATTAACAGTATAATATGATTCAAATTAATACATTTTATTGGATATGAACATTTTAGTTTTCAGGATATTCAAATGATGTTATATATTTAAATATACAATTAGATAAATTTTGAGTAAATTTATTATATATTTTATTAGGTATACCTGCAACAAATTTTTTAAGATATTACAAAAAATACAAACTGGTTGGCACTATGCCCAAGATAGGCCAAGATAATAAACAAAAAATTTTTGATGATGATGAAGAAAATAAAATTGTTGAATATCTAATTGCATGTAGTAAAACCTTTTATGATTTATCCGTTAAAAAGGTATTTAAAAAATTATACTAAAATTATTTATTTTATATTTAGATAAAAATTCAAGCATTTTATCATGCTATTCAATTAAACAAAAAAATACCAAAATCATGGATTATTAATAAAATGGCCGGTGAAGAATGGTTTTCTTCATTTATGAGAAGAAATCCAAGATTATCTCTAAGATCTCCGGAAGCTACAAGTTTAGCTGGAGCGGCTGGTTTTAATCAAGAGGCTGTTCTATATTTTTTTAATCTTTATAAGGGAATACTAGATAAAGACCTATGTCAATTTACAATATGGACGAAACAGGCTTGACAACTGTGCAAAATCCATCAAAAATTGTTGCGCAGAAGGGTCAGAAACAAGTCGGATCCATCACTTCCGCAGAGCGAGGCACTCTAGTAACAATGGCGCTGGCTGTTAACGCTTTAGGGAATTATATTCCCCCGATGTTTATTTTTCCGCGTAAAAAATATTATAATCATTTTGTTAGAGACGGTCCTCAGGGATGTATTGGCGCATCCAACGGATCGGGTTGGATGCAAGAGGAGGAATTTATTATGTTTTTAAGTCACATTGTTTCTCATACAAGATGTAGCCAAAAATTTAAAATTTTACTAATTTTGAATAATCATATATCCCACCAATCATATAATGCGATTCAATATTGTATAGATAATGGTATAATACTTTTATCTCTTCCTCCACACTGTACTCATAAATTGCATCCCTTAGATAGGACAGTCTATGGGCCTTTAAAAATTTTTTATAATAATTGGATAGATTCATGGATGCGAAATCATCGTGGAATCTCTTTTTCTCTTTATGATATTCCCTCTATTGTAAAGGATATTTTACCTTGCCTCTTTCTTTCTTTCTAGCTAGCTTTCTTTCTTTCTAACAAAATATCTCAAAAGGGATTTGAATCTCGTGGAATATATCCCTACAATGAAAATATTTTTCGGGAGGAGGATTTTATTCCTTCATCAAATGATGAAAGATCGTTTATATTAGGAGAAAGTTCAGGACATTCGCCTTCAAATTCGTCAATTATGTTAATTTCTAGCTCCACTTTTTCTTCTATTCCTAGCCCCTCTACTAATATCTCAATTAGGGATACTGTCCCTTCAAACAATACTCTCCCAGGTCCGTCATTTACTCCGATATCAATCTCATCTGGTAATTCGCAAACTAAAGGATCAAGGAAAAAAAAGGCTGAGATCTTTACCTCATCCGCATTCAAGAGTGAACTTTTATTTAAAGAAAAGAATAAAAAATCAAAAAAAAATATTGTTAAAAAATTAATAAAAGATGTGTGTATTATATGTAAACAAGATTATAAAAATTTTCATAATTTTGAGGATTGGTTTCAATGTCGAGTATGTAAAGGTTGGGCGCATGGGTCATGTGCCAAAAAAGATTGTTATTTTATATGTTATAATTGTAAATAGAATATTATACAAATAAAGCATGGGAAGAGAATTAGTAGAAGAGCTAGGAATTAACATAATTGACGAATTTGAAGGCGGATGTCCTGAACTTTCTCCTAATATAAACGATCTTTCATCATTTGATGAAGGAATAAAATCCTCCTCCCGAAAAATATTTTCATAGTAGGGATATATTCCACGAGATTCAAATCCCTTTTGAATATTTTTTGAAGAGGCTGCTAAAGGTAAAATATCCTTTACAATAGAGGGAATATCATAAAGAGAAAAAGAGATTCCACGATGATTTCGCATCCATGAATCTATCCCATTATTATAAAAATTTTTTAAAGGCCCATAGACTGTCCTGTCTAAGGGTTGCAATTTATGAGTACAGTGTGGAGGAAGAGATAAAAGTATTATACCATTATCTATACAATATTGAATCGCATTATATGATTGGTGGGATATATGATTATTCAAAATTAGTAAAATTTTAAATTTTTGGCTACATCTTGTATGAGAAACAATGTGACTTAAAAACATAATAAATTCCTCCTCTTGCATCCAACCCGATCCGTTGGATGCGCCAATACATCCCTGAGGACCGTCTCTAACAAAATGATTATAATATTTTTTACGCGGAAAAATAAACATCGGGGGAATATAATTCCCTAAAGCGTTAACAGCCAGCGCCATTGTTACTAGAGTGCCTCGCTCTGCGGAAGTGATGGATCCGACTTGTTTCTGACCCTTCTGCGCAACAATTTTTGATGGATTTTGCACAGTTGTCAAGCCTGTTTCGTCCATATTGTAAATTGACATAGGTCTTTATCTAGTATTCCCTTATAAAGATTAAAAAAATATAGAACAGCCTCTTGATTAAAACCAGCCGCTCGAGCTAAACTTGTAGCTTCCGGAGATCTTAGAGATAATCTTGGATTTCTTCTCATAAATGAAGAAAACCATTCTTCACCGGCCATTTTATTAATAATCCATGATTTTGGTATTTTTTTGTTTAATTGAATAGCATGATAATATGCTTGAATTTTTATCTAAATATAAAATAAATAATTTTAGTATAATTTTTTAAATACCTTTTTAACGGATAAACCATAAAAGGTTTTACTACATGCATGGTAGCAAACGCCCTTCAAAATCTATCCCTACCCACCTCACATTTTACACACTCGGCCATTTTTGTTAGGGAGCTTAATTCAAACAGGCTCATTGTATTAAAGGAAGTACTAACTATCGATGTACTAATCGAGGAATAAGATATATTATTGATATCTGACTCATATTAATGTCTTGATCTTGATCATCCAGAAGATCTTGTTTGTATGCAAGGACACGCACTTATAATTGCAAAAAAATTGCTACATAATTATAACTCCAAGTTGAGATCCATATTATCTAGTAGAGGTTTGCTGTATCTTCATCACTATCTTAGGTACGACATTTTAGTATGGAAAGATGTGAAATAAAAAAAAATATAGGAAAATGATTTTTTTTAATAATGTTGTTATCATATAATAATTTTAAATATGAATGTGTAAAAAAATAAATTATTATTAAAATATAAGAAATATATATTTAAAAATTAATTAATAAAATTTATATTATATTTATTTAACTTTTTTTTGTAACATATGTTTATTTATTATTTTTTAGATATAATATTCAAAAGGTTTTTTTCCTTAAATCTGGGCTGATGAGATATGGACCTTTTTAGAAACGCCAAAATTCTTAAATACATTATATTTAATTTTGAATATCTTAAAAAGTAATATTTAATATTACTAAATACATCGTTTAAAAACGTATGTAGATACAGAAACGGGGTAAAAAACTTTATTTAGCTGATATCACATTATAATTAAAATAATGATTGTTACATTTTAATGATTCATATACAAATATATATTTTGTTATCACATAAGAAAACACAGGTTCTTATTCAAAAAATTAACTACAAATTCTTAATTTTATTTCAAAAAAAAAACGAAAATAAATATTATTTTTTTAAATAAAGGTAATTATGAAATATTCGTCCTCTAGTTCATATCTTGAGTTGTGAACTTAGTCAACTAAACCAACTCTGAGTCGAAGAATGAACTCGACTATTTAACAACAAACGAACAAAAAAATCAGCTGTGAGCCGTAGAAATAAAATAAAATTTTTATAACCGGAAGTGACATTAATGCAAACTATGCCATTGGCTGTAATGGACACCAATTGAAATTCTTTTAAACATCCTTAGATGGCGATAGTTTTGTTAAACGGCTCGATTTAGCCAATTTTAAAATTAAGATTTTAGCCAAAATAACATTACGCGAGCTTCGAGATTTAATGGATATCCAAACATTTCTGCCTTCCATGAGCAAAATCTCCTGGCTTGTAATAATATTTTTTTAGTAAATGTTTCAACACAAAATGGCGGATCTTGAATGTTATGTACACTTCTTAAATTCACCATTTAAAAATATATAAATTATCGGTCTAAATTTGTAGGAACGCCATAAACCCGGTTATTTACTATAGTTGGACCTAAACATATCGTTTACTATTTTAATGATTAGCCATTTTTGTGAATATAGCAATCCATTAAAAATCAGAGATCCCTCCGCCCAAAAAAGAAAGTTTAATTATATAATAAATCCGGTTTGCTTCACATGTCTCGCAATTCGAACCGGGGTTTGATTCCCATTCATTTTGCTCCAGAATACATTTTTTGTTTTAAGATAATTATTTATAATTTTTTATTATTCAATACGAATGATTAGACTTCTTTTTCAAGCTCTCTTCTAACCCCCCCCCCATTGCTGTCACGTGTTTTCCGTAAGTGTGCATCTAGTGAAAGTCATAGTGGAGGGCACATAGAACATTATTTTACCATCTAACCCTGCATTCATAATTAGCGCATATTCGTGCCGATGTATATATAAATATAATATTTAATATAACTGCTGCGAATTTGCGCAAACTATGAACGCAGGGTATCTCAATATACAGTCATGGCTTGTACAACAATATCGATTCGAAACCAATGATGAGTGTTAGTATTGTTGATGCATTACTATCCATTATGAATTATTATGAATGTTAAATAGATATTTGAAAAAAAAAAAATAATAATATTAAGGGGCCCACCCATAACTAATATCACAATATCCGCCAACAACTTTGTTCCGGCGCATCCTAAAAATGGTAGGAATAGCAATATCAACACTTTCGTTACCGCACCAACATCTCCATCACGCAAAAAATCTCCCAGAGCTGGTGCCCATGTTTCGCCCATACCCCCCTCTACGTCTATTAATACGATTACGGAATCGTCCGCTTCGCCTTCCAAACTTGCTAAAACTGTGGATAATAAAAATAGTAAAGCGGAATCAGATTTACTTGGCCAAAATGTATCGCCCACTTCGTGGCAGGAAATGGATAAAGAAGTTTTCGAATCGTTACCGGAAAGCATAAAATGGGAAATTCGGGACAATCTAGACTACAAAGAGATGGCCGCTAAGAAAAAAATCAAGCAACGTGAGTTAGTTGACAGAGAGAAAAGGGGGAAAAATTTGTATGACGATTCCCCGGCCACCAATCTACGCACCAGGAAAAGTGGTCAAACGCTTAAAAATAACAAGAACACTGTTAAGCACAAAGTTAAGAATGCTGCGGGCGTTGCTAATAAGAGTAAAAAACGAATCAAGATTGGCGAACGTAAAGCGGACATTACCAAATTTTTTAACCTTCCTCCTCAGAGCGATTGAATTGTAGGAGGGAGTTGGTTTTTCCAACAACGAAATCATGTCCTTAGTATTTTTTTTAAGAGAAAAGTTATTCGATTACCTATTACTATTTATTGTATACTCTACTTCTTAATTTATATTTATCATGCATAATACTCGAATAAAAACTCTTATAATATTAAAATAGATTTCAGCGTTTACTTTAGCTCTCGGATATTAATAAAAATCATTATTAACGTTCTATATTTTACATTCGTAACAATATTTCCATTTATCGAAAACTATCTTCGTATAAGGTTAAGAAGACCAAATTATGACCTAGTGGTTTATTTTACACATCTTCCTTTCCTCGTTTCTTGGATGCTTTTAACCACTAATAATTCATTATTTTATGCCTCTCATATCTTCTTTAATTAAACCATACAAAACGGTAGCAGATTTTATATTCAGGCAGCAGGATGTTTCAAATACTGAGCTCTCAGAAATAATATTTATTTTTGTAAGATTTTTGGGGTGATTTGCAAATATATTGGATTTTTTTTTAAATCGAGCCATTTAACGACACTAGCTGTGGCCTACATATATTTTTTTCCATTAAAATCTATATTTATTTACCTATTTTCTCTTCTTTCTATTTTTTTTAGTATATAATAAATATCGTTCTTGTAGTTTATTCATAAGTTTATAATCTAAAAGTTTCTTCGATAAACTCATTAACCCTTTTGTTTATCTATCAAAGTGGCTTGATCATGGGAACAGTTTTTGTACCTATACTATTTACTAAAAATTCGTTTGATTTACTTCTTTTTTTGTTGAAATTCTTACTATTTTTTTTTTATTGCCTCATTTCCAGATGACCTCTTAAATAAACATGGCTAAAGGTCCACTCAGAATTAAATTGAATATAATATATATATTAAATCAGAGATTGAGGTCCACTGCCATGCCGTATTTTAAATTCTTTTCAATATTAAAGCTAAATATTTTAAATCGCCAATTATTTATGTTAGCTTCAATGTGTTTTTCCCCGCAAGCAATGTGTTATTTTTTCAACTTTAAATTATTTTTTGAGCAGGTTTTATTTAAATTTAAAAATCTGATTTTACGGAAATGTATATTCCACCATGTTTGGAATACGTACCCCCAGAATTCTAGATATATTTTGTCAGGAAACTTTTGAGTCATTTATAATTAGTTATGAAAAATCTTTGGGGAAAAAAACGAATATAAATATCTATAAGTTAGAAAGTTCCTGACAAAGTATTCTAACTAGAATTCTAGAGATATATTTTGTCAGGAACTTTTGGAGTCATTTATAATTAATTATGAAAAATCTTTGGGGAAAAAAAACGTATATAAATATAACTATAAGTTAGAAAGTTCCTGACAAAGTATTCTAACTAGAATTCTAGATATATTTTGTCAGGAACTTTTGGAGTCATTTATAATTAATTATGAAAAATCTTTGGGGGAAAAAACGGAATATAAATAACTAAGTTAGAAAGTTCCTGACAAAGTATTCTAACTCGGGTTGGGTATTCTAAACATGATGGAATACATTTAGATTTTAAAGTAACATTTATAAAAATTAAAAATAATCTGATCATAATAACAGAAAATGAGCTTAATAGAAGAGACACCCGGGCCGTATTTTAATTTTTTTCAATTTACCCGGGCCGGGTTGATAAAATTTTTTTTTTAAATCTGGACCGGGCCTTACAAATGGTACCACTACTTTCAAATTATGGCGTTTTGTTTTATTGTATAATTAAATCGCGCTAATTTGTTAACGTTTTTTTTCTTTGTGTTTTTAAAATATTAATACAATTTTTTTTTCTTTTTTGTAAATGTTGAATATTTAAAAAAAATAATAATTTTAACCTTCTAAATTTAAATTTTTTTGAAATAAAAAAAACCACTTCAAACGCTTTAAATTTGTAAGTAATATCATTATATTTAAAAAAAAAATGAATAAGTTTACCATCATAAATTTATTTTTAAATACTTTAATATTATTCACGTAATTAAACGTAGAGATATGCGAACGTTCGGCCCGAAGTCTTGGAAATTTTTTAAAATATCAATTTTAATATCGAATTTTTTATGTAAAATAAAAATATTTTGATTTATTTATATAACTAGACGCCATATAACATACGTGTCTTTTATTTTGAGTAATTATAAAAAAATAATTTCTATTATTTAAATAAGTACGGGCCGGGTCGGCAAAACTTTTTTTAAAAAAATACGGGCCGGGCTCGAAAAATTAGGCCCGATGTAGATCACTAGTAAATTTTTACCCTGCCCCATTATACTTGAAATTAAAATTAATGATTATAAAAACCCCAAAAAGCACCACTAGCAAATATTTTTAATCTTTTTTTTTGGTAATGTGGCTAAACATATTCTCCGAAAATTTACTGCGTTCCCATTATTACATTCAGCTGTAATATCGATCTTGAATTCTAACATTTAAGAGTGAGTTCCAAAAAATCTTTAATATTTCTAATGTTCTTAGATGGGATTTAACCTTCTTTTTTTTTCATGGGAATAGGTATATACACAGATTCTTGAAAAAAAAAAAGATTAATATAAGCAAAATTTACGACAAGGACATGATATGGTTTCTATTGCTCGCCAAATTATCAGTCTTCGTAATCATTGCTTTGATATCATATATACGTAAAGAGGGGAAAAATAATCAAATTATTTTAAAATTATTTTTTTAAAAAAATAATAAGAAACTTGTAAAATTCTTTAATTAAATGAAGGTCATGGCCACTATTAATTGTACTTTGTTAAAATTTCATTAACTCCTTTTTAACAAAAAAGTATCTGTTTATTTATCTCTACTTCAAAACAGTTAAATTAATTATGACGTTAGTAAATCTTGGTTAGAAACAATATATTATTCTCGTTAATATAAATTGTAATAATTGCATATGTTCGTGTGCAATTAGGTTTAGACTATAAAAAAAAGAAAGAGAAGTTAATGACGTTTTGAATGTCACGTGTGTATAAAGTATGGGAAAAATATTTTTAAAAAATATGGGATAACTGTCATATACGATGACTTAATTAATTTTGTATGAAGCGCAGATCTCAAAATAAATGTGATAGTTGACATATTCTCGGAAAATAAGAAAAATCACGATATTTAAAACAATTGTTATAAGCACTATATTGGCATTAAAAAAAATGACTTATTTATTGCAATATATCAGTAAATTGACAATAAAAAAAAATATTTAAAAGCTTTTATTTAAAAAAATATTTTAGCTAAATTTTCTATGTTTTCTATCTAAAATAAGAATTGGACATTGTAAATAATTTTTTAAATATTCCGTTGAAAAAGCATTAATATTTGATAAACTAGATTAAAAAAACCATTGATTTTAATGTTGTTTTAAGACATTCATTCTCTTTTTAATTTTATTATCTTGTAAATTACCCTTATATTGTGATATATTTTTGATAAGTCTTGTATTAAATTCGCCTATATAATGCCGCGATGGTTTTGATATACTATGATAATAATTTTTATGATAGATAACCTAACATTATCATTGATTAATCACATTTTCTTTATAACTAACATCATTGGCAAAAAAAAATATATTGCCCTGCTTTGAATTTATTGCCAATATGAACAAATCAGTGAGAGCATTTGCCAAGAATATATTTAATTAACTATAAATAGGCCTTTCATTTACATTTTACATATATTTTCGCTTTACAAATACAAGTATTTTCTTATTGTTTTTCAAATTAATATTTACGATTGCCAAAAATAATCTAAGGACATTGTGACATACACTTTTTATAATAACCTCGAAATAATATAAAATACAAAACTTAATTTAAAAAAAAAATTGAACATAATAAATATCTTGGTATTAAAAAAAAATAAAAGTGAATTTATAATATTATCTTAAATCTGATCTAATTTTAGTTGTAATTTTCAAAAGAGGTTGGATATCTATATTAGATACAAAAAAAATATATATTATTTTTGAAATGTAATGCTAATTAGAGAACTGCACGGGCTGTCCGTAGCCAGACCCGACCCGACCCGAGCCTCGGGTCGGGTTCGGACATCAAAAAAAAATTTCTCGGGTTCGGGCTCGGGTCGGGTTGAAAAAGCTGTCCGACCCGAAAACGCGACCCGACCCGAAAATATATATAATAATATTAATATCTTAAATAGTTATTATAATTTATAATATTAATTATAAAATCATATTATTTAATATTTATCACATTTTAGGATTAAAATGTCATGTCATTATTAATTATTATTTTATAAACCTAACAACCGGATACCAAACTATTTTATTACTAAATTGTGTTTCTCGTAAATTACAAGATAAGACATATTTTATGTAAGTTTTATTTATTATTTAACTAGCCTATACATTGTCTTTTTTAACATTTGTTTTAACCCTTCACTACAAAGGTAGAAAAAACTCCCTTAACTACAAAGGTGGGGTCTATTTTACCCCAAATTTTGATTAGATATATCTCAAAACATATTAAAAATTGAGATCTAAAATTTTGAGTATATATTTAAAAAATATTGGAGATAATAAATACAAAATCTTAGATTAATATTTACTTCCAAAAAAAAGTTAGACAAATTTTCCTAAAATTACTGAAATAAAATTTTCTTTTTCAGTACTTCCTTTAATTATTTTATTATCACTAAATAAAATTCAAAAAATTCAAATTTTATTAAATCAATGTTGAATAATGATAATTACATAAATTTTATAAAAAAATATCATATATCAAAAAAAATATTAATCATCAAATATGTAAAATTATTAAAAAATAATAGTGTAAATATATATCTTAATATTATTATTGAATATTTTTTTCTTAAGAAACTACAGAGGTGGTAGATACGTTTTTGGACTTCTCTCTATGGGAGGCTGACAATGCGTATTCTGATGCTAGCGCCGAAGTTGACGAGCTAAAAAAATATCTAGATCCGAAATTATGTGTTGATGACGATAATATTTTAAAATGGTGGAAAACAAACCATTATGAGTTTCCAAATTTAAGTATTTTAGCTCTTAAATTCCTGGCTATCCCTGCTTCGTCGGCTAGCAGTGAAAGGGCGTTTTCAGCTGCTGGTAGGGCCTTTGAGGAGAGAAGGACTCGTTTAAAGCCAGATAAACTGGACGCCTCTTTATTTATATATCATAATTATTCACTTTGTGATAATTTTGATAATGATATTGATGAGGTCAATATATAATATAATATGTTCATTATATTTTTTATATATTTATTAACTTTTACATCATATCTATATTCGCATAAATGATGCTTATTATATAATCGTTATAATTTTTAAATTCGCTTGTATTTTAATCGTTTTATAATATTTTTTACAAATTTTAAAAATGCAACTTAATATATATCTTGAATAGATTATGGCCGTCAAATAAACTTTTATTTAAGGTGGCTGAACTGAATAAATACACATAAATTTTTTTTTGGTTTATAATATTAAAACTTAAATTGCAAAATTTTATTCGGGTCGGGCTCGGGTCGGGTCGGATTAAAAAATGTGTGCTCGGGCTCGGGTCGGGCTCGGACAAAAAAAAATTTTAAATTCGGGCTCGGGTCGGGCTCGGGTTGCAAAAAAATTACTTTGCAGTTCTCTAATGCTAATAGTTATCGAAATTTAATGTCAAAATAATTAGTGCAATTGATTTTTTATTTTATTTCATATCAAAAAAATATTCTTTTTCTTATTCATATGATAATTAATAATAATGAAAAATAAATATTTTACACAAAAACAACAACATAAACTATTCAATATAATATTAATTTTAAATTTGGTTTTATTATTTTTAAGAGGTATAATAAATGAATATTTTAATTTTAAAAGAAATGTCTTCCCTCATTAAAGCATTCAGGGGTTGGTATATAGCACCTCAAAAATACTAGAATAGATATAATATTTAAAAAAACGGTTAATTATTCTGAACTAGAATTTTCACTGTTTTTCATTAAATATATCTTGGGAATCTATATTCCGAATCTAATTTATTTTTGAGATTATGCATTCCATGACTAGTTGAGGTTTATTGAAACCACAATAGAGAAAATTTATAAGTTTTATTTTTTAAAATTTTAGTTAGGATAGGTAATTAATTATTATTTTTTTCATTTTTTTTGATAAATAAATTATATTTTTATGAAATGTTTTCGTTTTAATATATAATTTAAAAAAAATTTATATATAGTTAAATTTCCCTATTTTAGAAAACTTTGGCTTAACATTTTATATCTAAGAAGGTTTATAAATTAAAATAAATATACATTTTAAAGAGTTTACCTTAGTTCTATCTTATATCAAAAAATAAATTAATGAATGGGAAATGGATTTCATTTAAAATTGGGGTATTAAACCTACACCAGTGTAAATACTTTATTTTATCCATTAGAGTATTGAAGGGTTAATATTGGCCATTATTATTTATATTGAAAAAATTTAAACGAATTATGAATATCTACTTCATTGACAGGGTCAAATTACATAATATATCTTTTTAGTCATGTTCATAATACACATAACAAAAACAATAATTACTTTATATTTTTATATTTGAAATAATAATAAATTTTCACATGAATAATAAATTTAAAAAATAGACAGAGAATCATAACAAGAAGAGAAAATATTTTAATAGGGAAAATTTGTAAAAAAATTATTAAATAACATCAATTTGTTCAGTGATTATTGGTTAAAATATATGATAGCATAATTACCTGTAAACTTCCAATTTTTAGGGTAAGTTAAATTAGATATTTTTATAGTTTCAGGTGATAAACCAACAATCGTATCACTTTTAACAGTTCTTAGAGTAACTAAAGGAGCTGGGGTAAAACGTCTTAGGGAGTGTTTAAATGGAGTTTGAGGGTCCCATTTCAAATCTCCAACCAGTTTCCTGAAATTTAAATCGCCTTTAAAAATTATCAAAAGAGATTCGGAAAGTTCTTCATATAATTTTGGATCAAGTTCCATCATTGCATCATAATCATTAGGCAATGTCCAATACATATTATCAATGTATATTAGGCTAGGTTTTGAGTTTTTAACTGTTTCTTTTTCAGGTATTGCCAGAAAGTTTCCCATTAATTTTAGAATTTCTTGAGCAAACCATACTCCATAATAATTCATATTATTATCTAATTCTTGGGTCTTATTTGTTTTTGGCAATTGATTCAAAATTTCACTTACATATAAACCATTACATATACAATTACCTTCTTTATTATTATCTGGATACAATAACCATGTCAAAAGACTTTTCAGATCTTTTGCAGTTGCGTCAGACACAAACCAAGGCATATTCTTGCCTCTTATTAGTATTTTGTCTGCAAGATTTGTCTTTAATAAAAAATAAACTAAGACAAGGTCAGTAAATAATTCAAATCCTGAGTTATCAATGATTAAATTGATTATTCTATTATTAGAATGGTTAATAACTTGGTTACCATTCTCATTTAAAATATTATCATTTGTTTCATTCTTTTTTTTGATAAGATATTCAAATATTTGTTGAGAATCATCACATATTATATGTTGATCATATGTTTGCAATTTGTCTAAAAGATTTTCACTAACTTGTAGGACATTCATATTTGATAAAGATAAATCGAATTTATTACCCCATAATGAAATCTGTAAGAATAATTAATTAAATGCTATTAAAAACTATAATACTTTCAAAATTTTATTAAATATTTCTTGCAACTCTATGTTTTCCCATCCTATTTTCTCTAACATGTATATATATTCACATATTATGTATATATTATTAATTGAATTTTTGAAGGATTTATGTTTTGATTCAAAAAATGGATCAAAGTCTTGTAGATATTTACTTATATAAACTAATTAAAATATATAATATTTAGTTACCTTTTATAAAATATTTCATTGATATTCCTGTACATATAAGATTCGACAAATAACCAAGGACTTTCATGCCAATTAATCTTTGAGTTACTATTCAATATTCTTTCAAATTCCACATTCCAAAAGTCGATGTCATTTTTATCGCTTCTAAATTTTTCAATGGCCTTATTATTTCGCAATTGATAGTTTAATTTTAAAAGTGCACCATTTATTTCCTCAATATCCTTTTCAACTTCCTTGAAACAATCATAATAATATTATAATTATAAATTACAATTCCATAACTGGCCCTAAAATCTTTGCTACATCGGTTAAAAAAATCTATAACCTTACCCAAAATAGTGGGTAATCGATATTTTATAGTAACATATGCAAACGATCTGCAACATTAATTGAGATACATATTAATAAAAAAAAAATATTTAATACTCTTCATCTTTAGCAGATAGAGAATCTGGGTAGGTCATAATGAATAATTTATTTTGTTTATTGGATGAATATTGAGTTTACTTAACTAATTTAAATTGCAATAAAATATAATGCGAAAATTCAAATTTGGCTCATTATATATAGTTAATTTTATATCCTCTTAAAAATTTAATTAGTTAAAAGATATAACAAATTTGATATTTAAGACGTCATAGTTAATTATCTATAAAAAATAGAATGATACTAGCTAAGAATTTATAAATTATAACTCTACTATTATGAATAGGTAATATCTTTTTGGGGTTGAATTGAAAATTATTAATTTGTATATCAGAATGAAAACAGATAAAGAAGTTTTTATGTTCTATAGTTCTAAATATGGTCATAGTAAACTTTATTAATATAGATGTCTACATGTACATATACTTTGTTAGCGAATTATTTAATTATTTGTAATATTAAAACCTATACTATTTAAATAATATTGTATTATATATACAATAACCTTTATATTGTATAATAGGATAACCTTTTATATTATAATCGACATTTATCAGAAATAACATATCTTATTTTCCTCCAAATTCAAGTTCGTCTATTAATCTTTTTACTCAAAATATGATATTGACGCAAGTCAAGGTATGCCGTGATAGTTTTTAGTTCATTTATAACTCCGTGTATTTTAGCAGTTTACGAGATAATTGATGTTGATGTAAATATCGTACCCTTCACTGTCCCTATACTGGCATGATGCCAATTTTTATCTGTTTGCCGATAGAAAGATTTCTTATATTTAACTGGTTGAATATATACATATATATATATATAATCTACGAAATTGAAACATTGTTGATAGACATTGGATATGATAGAAAGTTATATATATAATGAAACATACACAATTACAACAATATACATTTCAAATTTTATCATAGCTTCATCTATATTTATAAATAACACTTATTTACTGATTCGCTACGTTAAATAAAGTTTGAGCAAAACCGTTGTCTATAAATAAATTTTCATTTAAATGTCATTATTTATTCTTAACATAAAATATAATCATTTTTTCTTTTTGTAATTTTTGAAAAAAACATTTCAATTATTTTAAAAAAATTTTAACATCTTGAATTAAAAAAAATTTTTTTTGAAATTAAAAAAAACTCAGAGCCAAATTTGAAAACAATATTATAATTATATGGAAAAAATGAATAAGTTACCAAAAATATTTTAATTGGTTTCTATTACTCGTCAAATTGTCCGTTTTTTGGTTTCCTCAAATAATTTCTCCATTCATAAACATTGTTTGCTAACATATACAAAAGGAGAGAAAAAATAATCAAATAAGTTTTAATCTTTTAATCTATAATTTTTTTTAATTAATTGAAGGACATTCATTGTCACTATTAATTGTATTGTTTTTTTTTAAAAATTCACTAACTTCTTTTAACAAAAAATATTTGTTATACATTTTAATTCAAAACATCTTAGCAGCAGGCGCGTACGCAGTGAGGAGTAGGGAGGCAGGTGAACAAACCCCCCCCCCCCCCACTTAAGCCAAATGCAGATGCCGGATATATTTTTCAAAAATATTATTGTTTATATTAATTTATATTTGTTAATATTTATTCCTATCTCATATTATATATATATTATATTACATTTATTATCACATTCATCAACTAACTTATTTTATTAATTAATTTCGATTTTCCGGCGTAATATTATCTTATTATTTTCAAAATCTTAGTGGCGTAATATTTATCTACCATTCTCAAATTTCTAGTCAAATAATAATTATTCTGAAATTGTCCAACAGGGAGAAAGAAATTGCAACCTTGTCCAACGAGATTGAGTGTCTGCCATCAAGCAGTAACAGCTTTTAAGGAGTTAGAAGAGCCAATTATTTGCTATTACTGAAATATCACAATGCCCTGAAAGATATATTTTCTCAGAAGCAATAAAATTATTGGTTTCAATGCCTATTCTAAATTTTATTTCCCATTAGAATATATTATTTAATTATACAACTATTTTAAGTATTACTTTTCAAAAACATGACATTGATTTGATTAAGAAGATGAGAATAGCGGAGAGCATTATATCAGAACTCAAGGAAATTAGGGCTAATGTTGATGAAGAATTTCATATTTTATATGTTATTGTTAGGTCAAAAGCAGAGCTATACGTGTTTAATATTTGTCTCCCTCGACTTACAGCATAGCAAGCTCATAGTTAAAACTTTAATATAGGATCAGTAGAAGAGTATATCTACAGATACATTTATAACCCAAATAAATGAATGGTTTTTAATTCATCATGCAGCACTTACCAATCTGCAAATATTACTTTCATAAAAGCCTTTCCAACCTTTTTCAGATGGTGATTGAAAAAAAATATTTGTTGGATTTTTATCATGAAGAAGTTAAAGTATCTTATGATGCCTTATTAGCTGAATAACTATGTTTTAACTATGGTTGATATAGTCCCAAAAAATGATATGGATGCTCTGCATTATTTCAAACACATTTTAGATGATATTATATATTAGCAACTCTTCCCATTAGTAAACTAACGAGGGAACATTCTCTTTTTTTAAGATGAATAACAAAGCCCTGCAGAGGTACTATTTGCAGGGCACGACCCGGGTTTTTTTTTAAAAAATTTCAGGCCCGGCCCGGCTTTTTTAAAAATAAACTATATTTATTTTTGATTTTTATAGCTGATAATAACGATTTCAAATATAGGCTGTTTTAAAATATACAGCCCGGATATTTTTTTTTAAAAAAAATTCAGGCCCAGCCTGGATGTTTTTTTTTAAAAATTTCGGGTCTGGCCCGGGCATGTTTAAATAAATTAAAATCGGTTCGGCCCGGAGGCTGGGCTTGCAGGTCTCTGAAAAACATACCAAGAAGTACAACTTCTGAAAGTAGATTGAAAGGTTTGGATCTTTTGAATATTCATAGGCATTTGAGACGAGCAAGGATGAGATAATTAAAAAAATTGGCTCATTCTTAACGAAGATTGGATTTCATTGTAAATATATAATATGCAAAATACAATTATTCCTAAGAAATATTTTGTGTATTAATTTATATTTCCAACATTTAAATTTTTTTACTTTATATATAAATTAAAGGCTCAAAAAATTCAAATTTCTATTTTGGGTCATTAATTTAAGTGATTTTTACATATATTTTTTTTATAATACACATTAATTTTAAATGGTATATTAGATATAGTTATTAGTCCCAATAAATTTATGCTTGATATTTAAAAAAAACAATAATATTTCATAAAAAAGTTAATTATCTTATTATCCCCCCCCCCCTTCAGACCAAATTTCTGCGTGCGCGCCTGCTTAGTAGTACTTAAAATTATATTTAAGAGTTTCCCATTTAAAAAATGAAAAATCCCAATCATAAAAGGAAAAGGTCCGATCAAAAAAGGAAAAGTGTCAATCATAAAAGGAAAAGGTTCAATCAAAAAAGGAAAAGGTCCAAACAAAAAAGGAAAAGTGTCAATCAAAAAAGGAAAAAAAGGAAAAAGTCCGATCAAAAAAGGAAAAGTGTCAAACAAAAAAGGAAAAGGTTCAATCAAAAAAGGAAAAGGTCCAATCAAAAAAGGAAAAGTGTCAATCGAAAAAGGAAAATTCCCAAAAGGAAAAGAAAAGTGTCAATCAAAAAAGATAGTTTTACTGAAAGTTTTTATTAATGGTCTGGATGGGTATGACTTGGTCTGGGGGTTGGGGGTGGGGGGGGGGGGGGGGGGTGTAAAAAATATTTTTTTTTGATACCTATATCGATATTTTGTATTGATAAAAATATTTCTAACCCCCCAAGACCTAGACCCGCTTATTTTGGGGGAAAGATTGACCTCTAATTGAATAGATCTTTAGATTAGCTATCGATTGATACCCTATATTAGACATATCTTATTTTATAAGTCCAAAAAAACAACATTGAAAGTAAATGAATAACAATAAAATTAAAAAACGGAAAACGCTTTTTAAAAAAGATTCTTCTATATCATGGTTCAAATGTGATAATGCCGTATATAAAAAATTGAAATTTTAAAGGGATCCCTTTAAATCCCGTGAAGATCCCGGATAGGTGTGATCCCTAAATTATTTTAAAAAATACATAAGAATTATCAAAGATGAGAAGAAAAAAAAATTGAGAAAATATATAGTTATAAAAATAAATTGAGAATAGATACAAATAAAGTAAAGAAATCGCAAAAAGTAACAAATAAAATAAGAAGGAATGATAAAAATTTAAGAAAAATTGAAAATTTATTATTTTTTTAAAAAAAAATTAAAAAAAAATACGATTTTCTTTTATTGAATGGGAATTTTTCTTTTTTGATTGACCCTTTTCCTTTTCTTTTAATTTCCCTTTTTCGATTGACACTTTTTCTTTTTTGATTGGACCTTTTCCTTTTTTGTTTGACACTTTTCCTTTTTTGATTGAACCTTTTACTTTTTTGTTTGACACTTTTCCTTTTTTGATAGGACTTTTTCCTTTCTTTTTGGGAATTTTCCTTTTTTGATTGACACTTTTCCTTTTTTGTTTAGACCTTTTTCTTTTTTGATTGAATCTTTTCCTTTTATGATCGACCCTTTTCCTTTTTTGATTGGGACTTTCCTTTTTTGAATGGGAAACCCTGTAATATAATTTGTAATTGTGTGCAATTATATTTAGACTGAAAAAGAAATTAATGACGTTTGAATATCACATGACTATAAAGTCTGGAAGAATATTTTTAAAATAAAGGATTAGTCATATGATGACTTAATTATATTTATCATAAGAATTATTTATATTTATTCATAAAGAATGCATGGGATATTTTGATAAAAACATGGCTGATTGTGCTGGCATAAACTGGCCTTACAAAAGATAAAATAAAATTATTAGTAATGAATATTAATCTAAAACCTTGTATATCTTTCACTAAAAAAATGCTGTGCCCGGACTTGGATTCGAATATAGGTTAGATACCACAGCAAGTTTCAAGGGGTAAGGATATTCACGTCAGTCAACATTATATAAAATTTCGGGAACACCCAAATTATATTAAATCCTTAAGAGATGGATCTTTAATCCAAATCATCCCCTGGCTTTATATCTACTATATACAATACCACATAGC